GAGAGAGAGAGAGAGGGGACTGGCGAGGGAGAGGAGGAGAGACCCTCCAAGCTCCCGGTACCTCAGGCGGCAATGGCCGCCGTGCTGGCTCAGTCGCCCTGCTGCTGCTCCGCTCGCTGCTGCGCTATGCTGCGCTCCTGCTTCAGCCCCTGCGCTAAGTTCAGCGCATCCAAACAGTACGCTGGTACTGACCATGCCGTGCCGGTACAGTTCCGGTAGGCCGATGCCCAACTGAGGCAGGATACCGGTACTTATACCGGTAGGCAATGGTCTGGCCTCAATGCTGCGAGGCCAGGCCAGACCCTGGACCGTCCAGATGGACGGTTCAGCCTCAATCGGCGGGCGGCAGCTTCAAGAGCGCCGCCAGGCCCAAACGAAGTGTCGTTTGGGCCTACCCGATGGGTGCTGGTCCAAAATCAGGCCTTTAGGGCCTGTAACCCCAAAAGGTCGGGCCTTTAGGCCCTGGTGTGTCCCTCCGGCCCTAAGTCGGGTCCGGTAGGACCCGTGTGAGTCGAAGATGTAACAGGCCGTGACTTCGAGGGTTGCAGCGGGGAACACTCGAGTAGTGGTAGTGTAGGCCCGTGTAGCTTAGGGTAGTACTTGAGTAGCGGTAGGCCGAGCAGAAGAAGACAAAATGTTATTACCTTTGGAGACCGCGTGAGTTTTAGAGAGTCCGAGCAGAAGAAGACAAAAAGGTAGGCCTAGGTCTAGGTACCAGTCCTGAAGTCTGAGTCTAGGGCCTGTAGCGGGCCTGTAGCGGACGATATCAGACCTGCAATGATGTTTCCCTCCGAAAGGAAGGGGGTACCAATTGCTGGGGAAGCCGTGTCGGCCCCAAGAGGCAGGTTGCCCGGCGTCACGCTGCTGGAGTGCCTGGTAAGAGGAGCACTGGTACAGAGCGCCGGGAGGAGCAAGACCTGGGCTTCCACCTCGGCTATGGTGGATAGCACCAGGAGGGAGGAAGAGTGGATAGCACCAGGAAGGAGGAAGAGGAAGAAGAGGACTAGGAGGAGAGTGGTAGGGGTACTTACTGGCTATGGTGGACGTCATCTTCATCTCCTTGGTAGGCGCTGCAGCTGGAAGGGCCCAGTAGGAGTAGCGCTGCATCAAGAAGGTTTCTGGACAGAGTCAGGCATGGCGGCATGCCTGAATTGTAAAGGACATAGCTGCTTTTGCGTTGTTTTTTTAACATCGGGGGGCATCTAGTAGTCCGCCATAGCCATCACCTGTCGGAGGTGGATGGAGGTGAAGGTCATGGCTATGGTGGACCTCATGTTGTGCTGGCCGTAAGAGGGAGATTCGGATATTGGTTCTGGTTCATCCATTCATTGCTGTTGTTATTTTTTATTGATGAATAAGATTGGGGGAGATCGAGTGGCGAGAAAAGGGGCAATTGTCATTGGTCTTTTGCTGGTGTGCATCTTCTTCTTCTTCTTCTTCTTCTTCTTCTTCTTCTTCTTCTTCTTCTTCTTCCTTTGTCTCTTTCTCCTTTCAACTTCTTTCATATAGGGTCATATAGGTAATTCCGCAGATCGTCCAAGGGTTGAAATGGGTAGTTCTGCAGATCGTCGAGGGTCCAAATGGGTAATTCTGCAGATTGTCAAGGGTTGAAATGGGTAATTCTGCAGATTGCCGAGGGTAACAAATGAGTAATTCTGCAGATTGTCAAGGTAATTCTGCAGACTGTCAAGAGTCAAATGGGTGATTCTGCATATTGTCACGGGTCAAATGGATGATTCTGCAGATTGCCGAGGTTCAAATGGGTGGCCTTCCTCGCTAAACCTTTGTGGTGTTGCGCCATATTCCTTTGTATTACAGCAGCCAGTAACAACCCCCCCATCTCCTTTTTTTGTTGAAGGGCTTTAAATCCCCAGTACATCGCCCCGGGCAACTTGAGAATCGAAAATGAGTCATTCCGAAAACTTCAGGCCTCGGGCCAGGGCCAGCCTGCGGGCTGGCGGAAAAGGTTTTTTGTCCCGCGCTGCGCCAGGTGCGAGGCACAGGCCCCCGCATTGCTTTACAGGGCCTATTTTTCACTCAGTCGGCCGCCCTAAGTGAAGGCAGGCACGACCGAGGCCCTCAGGCCATTTTTCGGGTCACTACGCAACTGGCGAAATTTCAGGCAGTTGCGCAGCGCCAGTTGGTTGGAAGCGCCCAGGCCCAGGCTGCCTTGCATTGCATGTAACAGAGGCAGGCCCTGGGCCGGATACACAAAGTGGGCCGAACAAAGGCTGAGGGCAGTTGGGTGCTGGTAACCGCCACTGTTTCCTTCGGACTGAGGCTCAGCCTCCCTGGGCCCACCGGAAGCTTCTGGGCCGGGGCCCAGTACCGCAGCACAGCACGCAGCAGCAGGCCACTTCGATATAGGGAAGGGCCTGCCTACCCATTGGTCATTCGGGCACTGGCTGCTTTGTGCGCAAGCTCTGCTGCGCTATCGCCTGCCAGGCTCACGCGCTCACGGGCGAGCTGGAAGGAGCAGGCAGCCATAGCCGAGCTGCGCTGCTGTATGCTGGATGGGGCGCATGGTGGTCCTTGGGTGCAAGTGGCATCTGTGAGTTGGGGAACGAGGTTGTGAGTGATACGAGAGACATACCTGGTGCTTGACGCGTGCGGCATTGGCCGAGGTCTGCTCGTACTTGGGAAGCTGTTGACGTCATCAGCGGCATTGTAGTCTAGGCTAGATAGGATCTGCCATTCGTAGTCTGGGCGCCGAGCGCCAGATAGGATATCAACATTGGTTCTTCGTTGATGATGACGAGACTATTCCAGCATTGTCAATTATGAGCTTGTGGTGTGCTCTTATTTGGTGAAACTCGTGATGCAATTCTGCTTTTGGTTCGAGGTCACACCTATCTGGTCTCATGTGTATGATGCTGTTTGATTGCTGAAGTTCGCTATTGCTCATCTTCCTTGCACAGGGCCCTCCCCGTGGCACAAGAAAAGGGGAAAAAAAATCCACCCCCCCCCAAGGCCGGCCACTGCCCCAGTCTCCAAACTTTTCGGAATGACTCATTTCCAATTCTCCAGTTTGCCTGGGCGGCGCACTGGTGGTTTCAGAGGGGGCAAAACAAAGGGGAAACTTGTGACATTTTAAAGAAAACTTCAGAAGCACAGAAGAAAGGGAGAAAAGGAGAAAAGGCGGGGACGAAGGTGGGGGGGGGGGACAAGACATTTTCAACAAAACTTGAGAAGCACAAAAGACGGCGAGAAAGGGCGGGAGGCCGAAAGGTGGGGGCAGGGGAGCGGGGGGGAAGATTTCCCACAAAAAGGGTTTTCAAGCTCTAACTGACCATGCCGGTGTGTTGGGCTGCTGACGTGTCAACTGTCCTGTCGATGTGGAGGGACCAGCTGGAGCTGAGGGTGTGGCTGTTCGCTCCGAGACAAATGGATCAGCTCGGAAAACCTGAGCAACAGGCTCCGCCCCCTGTTTCTTCTGAAAATTGTCGCGTGCTTTTGCTCTCTGCATAAACTGTCGACAACAGACAGCAAACCCCACTTCAAAATTCAAAATTCCTGGAAGACATACTTTCAACCCAAAGGAAACATAAAACAAAATTAGAAGAAGAAGAAGAAGAAGAAGAAGAAGGAGGAGCAGGAGGAGGAGGAGGAGGAGGAGGAGGAGAAGAAGGAAAGCAGCTGAGGATAAGACAGACTGGTCGGCAGCAGTTGGTCCGGAGCAGGAAACCTTAGAAACAGCCTCTTTTCGATTCTTCCAGAAATCATCACATGCTTTTTTTTCTCTCTCTGTGCATAAACTGTGAAAAACAGACAGAAAAACGCAGTTCAAAATTTCTGGAAGGTATACTTTTCAGCCAAAGAAATAAAAACAGAAAAAGCAGAAGAAGAAGAAGAAGAAGAAGTAGAGATTGAATTGGTAAAGCAAGGTCAATCGCCACGTATCGATGCTTAAGAGTAAACTCAAGAAACCAGATGCATGGACATCGCTTATGGATCCGTACGTCTAGGCCAAAGACCTCCTCCGCGGCTTGCACGGATTCGAACCGGTGACATCGGCCTCGAGAGCCAAGTCTCTTAATCACTAAAGCCAGGACAAACATGCATGGACATCGCCATAGCTCATGTACGCACACGTTCCTCAACGCGTTTCGTCTGGTTGCGCACCAGCACTTATCCAGAAGCTATCAGTTAACGCGAAACCACCACTCCTTCCAGAATAAGGCAAAAGGGAGAAAGGAGGGGAACAAGAAGAAGGAGAAGGAGAAGAAGGAGAAGAAGGAGAAAAGGAGAAGAAGGAGAAGAAGGAGGAGGAGAAGAAGGAGAAGAAGGAGAAGAAGGGGAAGAAGGAGAAGAAGAACACCAGCTGAGGGTGTGGCAGTTCGATCGGGGACAGTTGGATTGGTTCAGGAAAGCTTAGCGACAGCCTTTGTTCGATATCGCGCAGGAAACCACCACCACCTCCACCTCCGTGGGGACCACCAACCACTTACCTCAAAGCCTAGCATGCTTTTGCCCTCTGGCAAAACATGCGCAAACATGATGTCACTTGAGAAATGTGCCCAAACAGGAATGATCCCAAATACGCCGACGAGCTCCCTGAAATAGCAGATAGCCAAGACATTGCACCTGGTCCAGTGGTTCTCGGCCTCATCAACACCTCATCGTAAAGTTGAAAACATGCAGTGAAAGAGGGGGAGGACAGCCCCCGGGGCGCAAGCAAGCAAGCAGGAGAAAGAGTAGGTTTTCTTTTTATTTCTCCTTCTTTTCCTATTTTTTAACGGATACAAAACTGCAGTGAAGAAACAATAAAACCACACAAGGTGAAAGGAGCCCAGCAACTGCAACCAATGCTTTTAAGCAAGACATGGAAAGATGTCATGATGCTCTTACTCTGATAGCAATCCCTTTAAACCACTGCAGTACTTCCTCGAGTCGTGCCCGTTAACGTGCCACGATTTTAGGAAACGTACGGGCCACTATAGGAGCGCCCAAATTCATCCGACTAGAAACGTTTCTACTCTTTTTTTTTTTTTTCTGCGGCCGATAGCTGGGCCAAGTACTGGTGTAGTTTAATACTTTTGGCTTTTTCCAAAGCCTGAAACGTTATGCCCCACCTCAACAAAGATGGGCAACTACCGAATTTGCTGCCTGCTATAAAGGGGCAGTAAGATAATACCCCTATAGCCCCCGAAAGTTCCAGGCTTCTAGCCTCTAGGGGAAGACTGATCTTTTTTCAGAGTCTGATAGGGGGGTATAGAAACCCCCCCGCCTATCTGATTGATAGGACTGGCTATAGGGGAGTATAAGATAAGATAACCCCCCTATCTGATTGATAGGATTGGCTGTATAGGGTATGAGGGGGGGTATCTTCTGCTTAATAGGATTGGCTGTATAGGGAGGTATAAGATACCCCTCCCTATCTGATTGATAGGATTGGCTGTACAGGGGGAGCACAAGATACCCTCGATATCTGATTGATAGGATTGGCTGTATG